TAATAATAATAATAATATGAGGAAGGGTTTTTTAAATTAAATCTGTTTTCTGAAACATGCCACTCATCTGCGTTTTCAAATAAATCTTTCAGAGGAGCTAAACCAAAATAAATAAACTAATAATTTAAGGTCTAATTTAACATGGTTGTGCCCTGAATGCAGACATGAGTTGATCTAAGTTATTAGAAACGATCTGAAAACTGTTGAGAGGTTAAATCAGAAGCTGGTCACAGCCAGCCTCGTTTTGTTCGGTCTGTAATCGTCTCGTTGTTGAAGAAGAAAGATCTGATCAGTTTCAAATAAACCTCCACAGATCTGTCACCGCTCCTGTCAGACTGCTGATAGAATCAGCAGCAAGTAGCAATAAAAAGCCTGTCTTGAATGGGGGTGGGGGGTCTTTTGTTGTCAGCTGGCTGATAGAGATCTCTCTGTTATTATGAAGAACAGAGGAGGCTTTTATGAGCGGAAATTAAACTGTTAAAATGAGCCGGCAGGTCAGCTTCAGTTAGCAGGTTTCAGGCTTGGTTAGTCTCTGGTTTATAGCAGCTGGTTAGGCCCGGGTCAGTCTGTGGGTTATACTTTGCTTTTGAAAGTTTAGGATTGTGTTATTCTCTGAATGCTGTTGCCTCACAGGTCCTGTCTTTCTGAATGGGTTTTCTCTGCGTACTCTGGCTTCCATCAGTCCAGAAACATGCATGTTTGTCTGCAGGGTCTCTGATTTGTTAGATAAAGAATAGAGTTTGTTGGGGTGTTGTCTTGTCATTATGGACTTGTATCTGTAACACAGATACAAAAGTCCCACTTTCACCTCCACATGTTAACAAGTAATACTGTCGATCAGTGTGACTTTTCTCTAAAACCTTAAAAAGCCAGTTAAAAGTTAACGAGTAGGAAAAAATGTACATGCAAGGTGAAACCTATAAATAAAATAAAAAACAGCTAAGACATTATCTTAATTAATTAATTTATTTATTTTGTTTACACTTGTTTACACGGACAGGACGTTTGTCTTTCAATCAGCCACTGCTTGTCCTTTGTGACTTCAGCTTTCGGTCCTGTCTTTATATGAAACGTCTCAACCTGAAATAAAACACGTACGTTGTTCCCTAACAGTGTTTCCAAG